ACACGCAACCTATCTCTAGCAAATGTCTTACGCAAGAAGATAAGTCTGTAGAAGTATTATGTTTTCTCAGATCACAGAACTCTGGAAAAGCTTTAAGCAAATGCACCTGCAGGAAGTGAGACAGCATGTCCTAGGTAGGATTTTGAAGTCACTTCCTCCACTTGGTGATTGTGAAATGGTCAGTGCTGTCTGGTAGTGACTGGCAAATTTAAATTGGTATTAATTTTACATTGCATTTCTAGATCAAGATTTTCAGCATTTCAAGAACAAAATAAGGAGTTGTCATCAGAGGTGTCTAGCGGGCTTACTGCAATATTTAAATGTTAGTGTACCTAGGAGCTGGAGTACTAATGTAATGTTTGGTTACTGAGAGTGAGGTGTGAGGAGTACAGGCATAGGAAGGTGTTTTGAATTAGGGGGGCAAAATAGGTTCCCCCAAAATAGTTAGAGGCCCTAGGGACTGCAGGCCCTTAACTTGGTCCAATGGTAGTAGCCCTGGTGTGGGACGAGGGGTGAAGCCCTCAGAAGCTCCTGCATTTTACCAGTTTAAAGAGGTAACTCATTAAAATCTGCACTAGAATGTCTGATATTGTATTTTAGATAATACTTGGCATAATAGTTATTTCATTTTGAACACCAGACTCAGTTATAGCTGCCCTCAGTTGCAGGGGTGTCAGTCTGTTGGGGGTGGGGGGGGGGCAGAAGTTGGGTCATACCCCCTCATTTCCTACATCTATGAGGGGTGGGGAGGTGGTGGCCTGTAGAGAAATAGATCAAGTCTATGTGTCATTTGATATGTGCTTGCCTTAGAATGTTTATCATAGACAGTAGGTGAGCCAGAATATTATGAGTAGTTATGAATTACTTACTAGGGATGTAGTATAAAATAATGATAATGATGGTGGTGATGATGATGATGAGGCAAGGACCTGCTATGACAATTTTCATATTTAGAATGGGTTCCATTAGCATATGGAGAGAGGGAGCCATTGTTGAAATTTGTGTTTCAAATAAAGAGATAAATACAAAGAAATGATATATAAGTACCAATAAAGAAGAAAACAAAATCATTTGAAACAAAGGAAGACCCTGTATGGCTAAAGCATCAAATGTGATATGGGGTATATATTTGACAATCCTGGTGTAAGTAAATGATTATCATCAAAACAAAGGTGTCATCTATGTTTTTTTAATTTTTGTAGCCTGATGGCCTTCAGCAAAAAAGTTGTCTTACATTGATGCTAAGATAAATGTTGTTTTTCGTCTGTGGTAATGTCACCCCCCAGCAGCATCTTTGTTCCAGTCTCATGTTGTCTGAGCATTCAATTGATAGAGTCATTTCAGAAAAAAAAAACTTTGACAGGACAGCTACCACAATCGGTGATACTTGATAGATTGTTATTGCTACCACCCAGTATTATTATTTTTTTAAATTAATACTGTTACTGTTACTGCTGATACTTTCATACTGCTAAGAAAAGGGAAGAAAAAAAGGAAAGAAAGGAGGAGGCCTAACAGATGAGGGTTATGATCATATGTTTTATAAGACCAGAGCCTCAGTCACTGATGCTAAAACATCTTCCACACAGGGCAAAAGGGTCAAGCGGATAAGAAAGGCAAAAGAAAGAAATGAGGAGGAGAGAGAAGAAGGGGAATGTACTGACTCTGGAGAGGAAGAAGAATTGGAGCAAGAGGAAGAAGAAGAGGAAGAGTTGAAGAATGAAGAGGCTGCTGAGGAGTGCATTGATAGGGAAGGTAGGGTTCAGCACCATCTTTGGCTCGTGATGACATACTTTTCCTTAAAGGATGCTGTTGCTGCAGCACTGACCATGGGTTTCTGCATGTGCTTTTATATGTGGGTGTAATTATCTGTATGCTTGTATATATGAATTTTTGTGTGTTGAGTGAGTGCATTAGTATGTTTTTATGTGAATTTTGCACATGTTTTTCCAATTGTGTTGCTTTTCATGGTATATATTGCTTATTTATCATGTATAATCACTTATGGAGTATGGCAGTTTTTATTAATAAATATAGAAAATGTTATAATTTTCAGAAACTGTACATGTGCCACCGTCCTTAAGGTTAATGGTAATTGAAAGTGCAAGTGAGAGAGTGAAGGTGGGAACACTACATTTAGTAACCTTAGATGGAGGCACAGTGGGTAGAGAGGCCAAGAATTTAGTTCAACTGCCTGATCTGAACATTAGCAAGGTAGGTGTCTTCCTTTCTCATTTATTGCAATTTTTATGGATTTGATAATATTGTTGAGACGTATATGTGTATATATATTTTTTTTCTCTTTTAAGAAGAGGAACTTGTGAACCCCATCATTTCTGTAATGGGAGAGTAATAACATGAGAAATGATTGCAATTTAATATGATGCATACAGGTACATGCAGAGATAAGTTATCGTTCAGAAGGCCCAGATGATCACCATTACTACCTCAAAGATCTGGGTAGCAATAACGGAACTTTTGTGAATGATACAAGGTTGAGTGAGCCACGGGAAACTAGCCAAGAAGTAGAGGTACGAATTTATATGTGTATATAAGAACATGAGAACATTGTTAAGGGTGCCATGCCACAGTTCTGCCATATGGTATTGTTATTTCAACCTGATGAAAGAATTATGGGTAGATAATTTTTTGCTTTCCCCTTAAAGCATTTTTTTTTGCATACTTCTGTGTTGGAGAGTTGCTACACTGTGTGAATTTGATAAATGTTTTGATCTTCAAACAAGTAATCAAAACTTTTCAGCTTGGCCATGGATGGATGTTGCAGTTTGGTCCTGTCAAGGTGAAATGCCACATTCACCCAGGATTGCTGACCTGCAATGAGTGTGAACCAGGACTAGTAAATGCTAATCACTCTTCACATGGTAGGTTGTTGACAATTATGTATATATGATGTCCAATTTAAGATATTGTCTTCATAGACTGTGGGTGATATCCTTTAAGATCATGAAGAAATTTAGGATTTAGTAAATTATAACTTACATTTCAGTGCAGCACAAATGCAATGCACTATTAGTGCAGCACAAATNAAAGGAGAGCGGGGAAACGAGCCTCTTGCGACATTACAGCCTACTTCATCATCTGAGCTTGCAGTGGCTCGATAATGAGTGTGTGTGTGTGAGTATGTGTGAGTGAGTGAGTGAGTGAGTGAGTGAGTGAGTGAGTGAGTGAGTGTGTGTGTGTGGTGTGTGTGGTGTGTGTGTGTGTGTGTGTGTGTGTGTGTGTGTGTGTGTTTGTGTGCTTTTGTATATGTGCGTGTGTATATGTGTTTGTGTGCATTTGTGTGTCTGTCTGTCCTCGAGCGCGTGCGTGGGGAGCGTATTGTCTAAACATCACTATCCAACGGTCGCGAGGCACTTCCCCTTCTTTAATCATATCCCTCGCCGCCCACAGTCGTGACGACGCCCATGAGTGAGGCCACGTTCGGGCGAGGTCTTGTAACAGAAAAAGAAAAAGAAAAAAACAAGAAAAAAAAAAGTCCGATACACATCCGCCAATCTTCTGCGGCGCTCTATGCTGCTCGCAGCTGTCAGCCTACCTCGGGGCCCTCGAGATTAAGGGACGCAGAACTAGAACAATGCTCGCTTTGTCTCTCTCTCTCTCTCTCTTTCTCGCCATTATCTATCTGTCCATCTATCCATCTATATGAATGCGTGTGTGCGTCCGGTGTTTGCACGTGCGTGTGTTTCCGCTCGCACGCAAGTCTGTAAAAAACATCTTAACGAAATATGTACGTAAAGGTGCCCCGCCCAACGCACATAAGAGGAACTACATACATGTAAATGGTACAACACAACGTCCCAGCATTCCCCACTGCACCTGTGGCGAGGCGAGTCCCTTAACTGCCGCCCCTGGCTCCCTCTCCTGCCCACCTGCGGACCCCCCCCCTGGCCCCCTTCCTTGCCCACCTGCGGACGCCTCCCTGGCCCTCTCCCGTGGCCCGTTTGCTTGGCTGTCTCTCCCCTGGCCACCCCCTCCCTCCCACCTGCAGACTGCCCACCTCCCCTGCCCCCTGCCCACCTCCCCTACCCCCTAACCCCCTACCCATCTCCCCCTAGCCCCCTGGAACCTCCCCTAACCCCCTAGCCCCCTGGACACCTCCCCTAACCCCCTAGCCCTACCTCCCCTGGCCACCTCCCCAAGCCCCCTGCCCACCTGCGGACGCCTTCAGTGACGCGAGCCAGCAAACCGCAGCTAACCTTTTTAAGAATCGTCCCCAAGGTAAAATCTTGAACTACAAAGGAAAACTATTCGAACACTCCCTTTAAATTAACAACAAAGAAAAAATAAATTAAAAACAAAATAAAAAAAAGGAAAACAAATAAGTCTGACACGAACAAAGACGGAGGTTAAAAAGAAGAAGAAAAAAATGGAGAAAATTATTTGAAATTTGAATAAAATATGAAATAAACTGAAGGGCACGAGAGAAAAAAGGCTGATTCAACGAAGAAACTTTAAGAAAATGTGAAGAAGAATGAGAAGGAAGGAGGAAGAGGAAAAAGAGCCGAAAGAAGAGAGAAGGTAAAGATCGGTAAAAGATGAGGAAGAGGAAGAGGAGAAGAAAATGATGGAGGAGGAGGAGGAGGAGGAGAAGGAAAAGAAAGAAAATCCAAACAGAGAAGCAGTAAAGATCGGGAAAAGAGGAGGAAGAGGAGAGGGAGGGAAAAAAATAGGCTAAATGGCGATTCCTGAATGGTCACCTGCCCCCCCCCCTTCCCCCCTTTTTCCTGCCTTTGGTCAGAGCCCTGAGTGCGGAGGACCAGGGGAATGGGCGGAAGGGGGGGGGGGGGGGGTAAAGGAACGGGGAGGGAGAAGCAAAAAGGACAGATCGTGTCTGAAAACCTTTCGTCTCTTTCTCTTCTCTCTATATTTCTCCTTCTCTCTCTCTCTCTCTCTCTCTCATCTCTCTTTCTCTCTTACTTCCCCAACCTCTTCTCTCTCTCTCCCGAATCTCCTTATCCCTCCTCTCCCTCTCCTCCCCTCCCTTATCCCTCCCCCCCTCCCCCCTCCGTTAACCCCTCACCTATCGGTCTCGCGGTAATAACGACCGATAAGATGATGACCGAAGAGCCAAGTCATCCCGTTCGGTCATTATATTACCTTTAATTTTGGTTAATGATATAAGTCATCGGGGGGGCACTTTGGGAGGGGAGAGGGAGGGGGAGAGGGGATGGGAGGGAGAGGAGGGTAGGGGGAGAGGGAGAGGGAGAGGGAGGGAGGGGAGAGGGGGAGAGGGAGAGGAGAGAGGAATGGGAGAGGATGTGGGAGGGGAAAGATTGAGATGAGTGTGGGGAATGATAACGGGGAGGGGGAGAGGAAGGGAGTGAGTGAGAGGAGGAGGAGGGTGAGTGGGAAATAAGTTAAGTAGAAGAGGGCTTGGGGGAGAGAAAGAGGAAGAGTAAGAGGGAGGAAGAGTAGGGGAGGGGAAAGAAACTGGAAGCGTAAGGACCGAAAAGAGCAAATGAGAAACAAAAGCCACACACACACACACACACAGACACACACAAAAAGAAAAAAAAAAAAAAAAAAAAAAAACACACACACACAAAAACGACTAAAACGAAACACTTCTTAAACAAATTCAAGGAAATGAACAAACACACCAAGAAGACAAAGAATTCCCCGAAATCCTTCACCAAGCCTTCAACAGGTGCACAAAATGAAAGCATAAAGTGAAAGCACCGGAAACAGATGCAACCACACGCTAAGCCTGTTCAAGCAAACGGGAATCCTATACAACAACAGAACAAACACACACATACGGCAATACTTTGGAAAATCACCCATGAAAAAAATCGTAATAATACCAATTTTATTTCCATTAAAATAAGTGATAATATAATATCAACAAAAAAGATAACCTAATTCATCACTAACTGAATAAAACACATATATAGCAATACTTTTGGAAAAATCACCAACTAAAAAATAATATTACAAATAGTAATTCCATAGGAATAATAACTAATAATAATGTGAATAAACAAGCGATCTTCCATTCTACGGGAGACAAATTTCCAATATACTTTCCCAATTAAGAACCCCAAAATCTTGAAGACATACCCGACATACCCAAGACAAACGGCACATTTCTTCTCCCACTACACATAAAAGTCAATTCCCCCCCCCCCCCCCCCCCACCACCACCTCCACTCTTCCCCTCTCCTCCCCCCATCACCGCCCCCCCTCGAGTTTAAAAAGAGAAAAAGAAAAAAAAAAAACGGAGATAAAGAGAATGAGGAAGAAGGTAAAGAAAAAAAGACTGTCCTTAGCCCAATATTTCACGCAGCAAGAACCCCTAATTTATTTCCCCCAAGAGTCGAGAGAAAAAAAAAATTGCCGGTACTCAGGTAAAAAAAATCTGAGAAAATAAAGTAAAGTAAAAAGTAAAAGAAAAAAGGAAAATAGATGAAAATGAGAGAGGTTGTCATAGCCCCTGCAGGACAATTACTATCTTCGGGTAAAGAAAAAATATAAATGAAATATCCAGCACTCAGGTAGGAAGACAAAGAAAAAGAAAAGAAAAAAAAGAAAAGAAAAAAAAAAAACGAAAAGAGAAAGAGAAAAATAACGACCATACACCTAACTGCCCAACAATCACCTACGGACAAATAACAAGGGATGTTAAAACCACAAAAGACAGCCATGGCCACGAAAATCTATAAACGGCTGTTGGATCCTTTAAGGGGGGCGGGACTTCGAAACACGTCTGGAACCTGTCAAGACGCGACCGGACGAAGACTGATGGGATTCCAAAGCCAGCGAAGGACTAATGAGTGTGTGTTCGTGGACAAGGGGGGCGGGGCAGGGGGGCGGAGCGATCGAAAATGTCGGAAAATAAGGGAAAATAGGGCGGAATTTAGAGGTAAATATGAGTGATGGAGATGTAAACAAATAAGATTAGAAGGAACAGCGGTAATGATAATGGTATAATAATGGTTCGTCTGGTTATCAGAAAGACTGATTGGTAAGGATGGTTATTAGGATGATTAGATGGATATCCGAATGACAAGGATAAAAGACAAAGCGAGAGAAAGAGAACGAGGAGAGAGAGAGAAAAAAAAAAAACAGACGTGATCAAAAGAAACAAAGACGACAATAACAACGAAAAAGATACAAAAAGTAAAATCACAAAAAAAGAAAAAAAAAGATATTGATAAAAAAAATAAAAACCACCGAATATCCACCGGAGACCTCCCTCCCCCCCCCTAAAAAAAAAAAAAAAAAAAAAATACACAGGCCGCCGACAAACAGCACTCGCCCCAACGGCGGAGTAGCCATAAAACTCCCCCGACAAGACAATGCGCCGGGCACTCCTCACTCCCCATGCCGCTCCCTCGCCCTACGTAATGACACGCTCGGTCCCCCCCCCCCCACCCCTTGCTGGTGGCGTGACACGTGGCTAGAAAAATGCACCTTGCCGACCGCTACGTACAGGGTTTCACAGGGGAGCCACAGGGAGGGAGTCACATGTGGGTAGCCACGGGGACAGAGGGAATGAACATACGTAACGAGAGGGAATGGAGGAGGGGGAGGGGGTGTACATTCACGGAAAGAGAGAGGGGGGGGTGAAATGAGGGGACGGGTGGGGGAGAGAAGGACGCTCACGAAGATGGGAAGAGGGAGGTGGGGTGTCGCTGGTGAGGAGGGAGGGGGGGGGAGTACACACGCGGAAGAGGTACGCTTAAGGAAGCTGGATGTACAAGGAAGAGATGTACACTCACGAAAGGGAATGCACAGGGGGGGAGAGGGAGAGAAATACACACACAGAAGGTGGGTGTACAGGAAGTACATTCACAAAAGGGAATGTACAAAAGGGGGGAAAAGTACATTTACGAAAGGGAATGTACAAAGACGAGGACGCAAGGAATTTTACAAAGGGATAAAAGTACACTCACGGAAGCCGGACGTACATCGTGTACACCAACCCGTACACCAGCAACAAGGAGGCCAACTTACAACCCGTAAGGCCTGAGGTTCGCTTTTTTAGGCCTACAGGAGAGCGGGCGGCCGGACGGGATATGCATGTCGTTAAAAAAGGTAAAAAAAACGAGGAAAAATAACGGTAAGTGTTATCTCTTCGGCATCTACTGATGGGTAAGGGATCGTAAGGTAAAATAGGAAGGACAGGAGGGAAAGGAAAGGGGAGGAGGAAACAGGTGGAGAGAAGAGAAAGAGAAGAGAAAACGAGGAGGGAGACGCGAAGATTAAGAGGACAGCAAAGGAAAAAGAAAGGAGGAAGGAAGGGAAGCGACAGATAAACCTCCGAGTAAGGGAGAATGAGGAAGAGAAGTGATAGATAAAGCAGCGAGCGAGAGAAAGTGAGGAGGAGAATGGAGGAAAAAGCAAGACTGGAAAAAAAGCAACAAAAATCGAAATTCCTTACGTGCGCTAAATCACGACCCCAGAACATAGCGCTTCCCAACCGCGCTCAGTCACCGCTGTTCTGGACTCTACATGCTACACTATTCCGCGTCTTGAACGAGCGAGGGGGCGAATATGACGAGCATGACGAGAATGACGGAGTAGGCACGAGATGACGCCCGAGAGAGTGTCCGCGTGGGCGTCGGGAGCGAGGTAATGTTTACATTCCGTGGCCAAGCTAGCGGAAAGAGCTAGCGGAAAGCGCTAACGGAGGAGGTGGCGGCGGCATTCTCTCGTAAACGGTTTATCCTCCTCTGTCTCCTTTATTCGTATTTTTATCTTTTTTAAATGGTTCTGGATCTATCTTACCCCCGAGAAAGCAAGATACAAAATCTTTAACACTGAAGCCACACTATTTTAAGGATGTTTTGAAATTATTTCCCGCCGATCCACTCCGCAGCAAGACTAGGATAGTTCCTCTCGAAACGCCTCCCGATTTTCTCCCTTCGCTTCTCCGTAACCGGGCATCTCCGGCTTCTTATTGGCGCAAGCCCCCTTCCCTGCCCTTCCCTTTTCCCCCCTTTTCACCTCCTTCCTATATCCTTGGGCTACGATACCAGCTAGGGATCTCCTGACCTTTCTGATCCTGAGGAAAAACTTCTGCGTTTACGGTGTTTCACATCTATGCGACCCTTCTGCCGTCGCCCTTCCGCCAGGCCAGCCCCGCGCGGGCTTCGGCCTACCTCATTGAGGGTGGGAAATTACCTCGCGACATCTAACCTTTTCTACACCATCATGGGCGTCCAGAGAACCAACCCCAAGGGCCCTCCTCGATACTCCGGGAGGCGCACTCTTCGACCTCTTCTTCTCTTCCTCCTCTTTCATGCCCATGGTCTCTCTTCCTCTTCTCACTCTTGTCTTCCTCCTCCCCCTCAACCCCCGACCCGTCGGCCTATCCTCTCGCTCCCATTTTCCCCGCCCTCCTGCCCCTCCGCCCCCACTTCCCCTCCCTCCTTCTCGCCCCCCCCCCCTTCCCCCTCTCCCTTCTCTCGCCCCCCCTGCAGCCAGTCCCGCATCTCCTCTGTCCTTCCCGCCAACAGGAGGCGATCCTCGCTCGTGGCCGCTGGAGTGCACGTCGCGTGGGGAAGGTTACGAGGCAGAGCGGCGGGGCGAAGGGGCTGGTGGCGTGAGGAGGGCCATTTGGCCGGGAGGGGAGAGAGAGCGTCGGCACGCGGAAAAGGAAGTTAGACTGCGACGAGTCGAGGCCTTGACTGAGATAGATACGGCGAGCGAGGGACGAAGTGAGGGAAAGGGAGAGTGGGGATTATGCAACGGGGGTACGGCAGGAGCGGGGAGGTAAGAGCTAAAAAGCTCTCTAGTCTGTGAAAACAATCTTTTCGGTGTCATTTTGGGCGGCGCGTTGGTGTCTCTGCTTACCCCAGATTCCTACTCAAAATTCTGGTATGTCGTCAGCATAACAAATCCAAGGGGGTATAGTGGACTGTTCTTTTATAAGCAAGAATTCTTACTATCTGTATATTTCCCGTATGGAGTGGGCTTGGATTATTTGTTGCGTAAAATCAGAGCTCATCGTAGCCTACTCTTCCGCTTAGCGGGACCACTATATCTACATGACTGCATTCTGTTGGCGTTGAATAAATACACACCTAATACAAGCTCAAGCCTCATCCCCCCCTCCTCCTCACCCCCGCCCCCTTCGGACCCGAAGCGACCGTGCCTTAGCCAGACCAAGCGCATTCGGAGACGACATACCGCCGTGTCGCGGATTTGTGCTCTTGGCAAAAGTGGAGAAACAGCCTCCACACTTGGATCTTAGCGCTCATAAACCGGCCGCATCCGTTCTGGTGAGTGCTTGTCGGAGCTACGGCCGGACTGACCCTCTCAAAAAGCACCTCTTCTCGGCTGCAAGTCTTAAAGCTCTCCTGCCGCGTTCCCGGCTGTGGTTCCTTGGGCTATCTATCGACCCGTATTTAGGCCCCCTGGCGAATCGCGGCGGTAGCCAGCGCCCTTCCTTCGGTCGCTCTCCGCCTTCCTTATGAGGGCCTCCTCTTCCCCTTGGAACATGAGGAGCGGCCTCCCTCTTGCTCTCACCTCCTCCCTCTGCCGCGCTTCCCTCCTTCCCTTCCTCTCTCTCCAGGGGCCCAAACGCAGCATTGCTCGCCTGCTCCCCGCACCCCGCCCGGAGCCGCATTCCGATGGACTCCATCCGCAAATACTAGCAATGCAGCGCGCGTCGACACTCGGGTCGCCGCGTTTCGGGTGGTCGCCAGCAGTGCGTCGGGTCTCTGTGAGAGGAGTTCTACGCAAAGACACGCGTCACCAGCCATCTAGTACACGAGGGTTCTGTAATTCGTGTATGTTTTTTGATAGTTAAATATGAACCTACTTCTTACAAAGACTATTAAAACATTAATTTAGCGCATTATATTACTCGTACATTTTACATGTGATCTATAACACGGCGCAGTCCAGCCTCATCTCTCTCCCCTCTCATTTTTCTTCTTTTCTCTCTCTCATCTCTCTCTCGTCTTCTCTCTTCATCTCTCATCGTCTCTCTCTCCTCTCTTGGTCCGTCTTGTGTTTCTGTCTCTCTGCGTCCTCACGTCCACTCACTCACTCACCTCACTCACCTTCACTGCACTCACTCACTCCACTCATCACACCACACACACACACAGCACAACACACCACACACACACACACACACCACACCATTGACACACAGCACAACACACACACCACCCACACACACACACCACAGAAGCGTTTGGACTTCCTTTAGCCCCTAATTCCTGCAATACTGTCGCGCCCCCGCATGGACGTTATAGTGGTTTTTATATTGCGATCTTGTAAAAATTAACTGAATACAACTATAGTACATCAGTCATCAATTGCCCTTGATATAATACAAAAATATCTTTTTTTGCTCACAACAGTATCATTTCTAACTTGAAATATCTTCCCTTTTTTTTTCAGTTGTTCTTACGCGAAGACTACATAACCAAGAATTCGATGCTCCGGACAGTTCTTAAAAACTTCTGGAGGAGCTGTTGTGTTCCCACCAGCTCCCCCCCCCTACACCCTCCCTTCCTCCCCAACCAGACCAACCAAACCCCAACCAACTCGACACAACACGGAAATGTTCCAGCCGTGTCGCGGGATCGAACATCATCCTCTTCTTATTCGCACATTATCTCGCGGGCGAATTAAGCCGCTAATGACGTCATTACACGCGACGAGACGAGGGAGGTGAAATGAAGCTTCGAGCAGCCGAGCGAGTGATACGTTCGGCCAGAAGGTTGCGGTATGTAGGCGACGCTGATGTACAGTTAGGTTGGGTCCAGTGGAGGCTGGAGGGAGGGGCGGAGAGGAGGAGGAGAGGGAGGGGAGAGGAGGAGAGGGAGAGGGGCGGAGGGGAGAGGAGGAGAGGGAGGGGCGGAGAGGAGGAGGAGACGCAGAGGAGGTGAGGAGAGGGAGGACGGAGGGAGGGGTGGTGGGAGCGGGAGAGGAAGGAGGAAGAGAAGAAAGAAAGGAGGGGAAGGAGGAGGAATAGATATATAGTAAGAAGTAAGGAGTAAGAGGAGAAACAATATGGGAGAGCCAGGAGAAGAAGGAGAATGAGGAGGAGAAATAGAAATAAAAAAGGGAGGAAAAATAACAGCAGGAATTGGAGGATGAAAACGAAAAGAACAATAATAACAAGAAGAAAAAGAAGAAGGAGGAGGAGAAGGGGGAATATCAGAAGAGCTAGGAGGAGAAGGAGGAAGAGGGAAGGGCGGACTAGATCCACTGCCGGACACCTGCCATCCTCCGCCGCAAGAACTAGTTCCAAACTTCAGGAAAAAAACACAAAAAATATGCTTACCACAAAAACTTATTTTTTTTTCTTTTTCTTACCATAACGCAAAGTACTCGTAAGTATTAAGTTTATCACACCACGAGTTTAAGTAAGCGTTCTTTCTCGCATACGAACGGGGCAAGGAAGAATACCCAGACAGCCCCTATAACTGGCAGCATGACCTTGTGGGTTTAAATATATGGGAAGACAATGAAACGAGTTTTTTTGTTTGTTTTATAAGCGCCGCAAGTCTATTAGAGAACAATGTACTTTTAGACGCTTATGAATGTGCATACGTATGGATATCTGTATAAATGCAAATTTGGGCGAGAGATGTTCACTTATTTATACATATATGCAAACTTAAATAAGACACACACACAAGACGCACACACACACACACACACACACACACACACAAAGACACACACACACACACACACACACACACACACACACACACACACACACACACACACACACACACACACACACACACACACACACACACACACTCACACACTCACACTCACTCACTCACTCACTCACTCACTCACTCTCACTCACTCTGTACAGCAAGAAGCATGCTCGAAATTTCCCCAACTGCCCCTCCGAGACCCCTCTCCAGAAGCATTTAAAGAGACCCCAAAGTGGACCTCCTTCCCCGCCGAGACCCAACAGCCGAGGCGGAGATGCCAGCGGCCCCGGCGGCGTCGAATGCACTCCGCTGGCTGAGCCGCGACATCAAAATGCCGCTATGAACCTGTTCCCAATCCTGGCCGCCCGTCAGACCTTGCTCCCGGCCGCTCGCGCTTGTCCTCGATAAAAGGAGGAGGAGGAGGAGGAGGGCCCGAGATGCCTGAGAGTCGCTGAGGCTTCGGGGTGCATCTGGGAGCCCTTTTTTAAGGGGCGTTTCTTCCAAGGACCCGACGCGAGGCACGTTTCGGAGAGGCTCAATTTAGCTTAAAATGTTGCCGCTTAGATGACTCGACGGTTGTCTTATCTTACCGTTATGATTATCATTACTTTTTTTAAAACAAAAACTCAGACACGAAAAGAAGAAGAGAAGAGGAGAGAGAGAGAGAGAGAGAGAGAGAGAGAGAGAGAGAGAGAGAGAGAGAGAGAGAGGAGAGAGAGAGAGAGAGAGAGAGAGAGAGAGAGAGAGAAAAGGCAAATAGGTACACACGCGCGAGCACTCGAGAGCCTCTGCACCAACACCTAAAACATCTAAGCCATCGCTCCTTCGAGACAACTTTCGAGGAGCACCTGCGGCCTGACCCAACATCCAAGACAGTATCTTATGCTTCTCGCTATACCCACTACCCCTCCCCTCCCTCTATGCTTCTCGTCAGCTAATCCCCCTTCTCGCTGTACCCACTACCCTCCCCTCCCCTCTATACTTCTCGCTGTACCCACTACCCTCCCCCTCCCCCTCCATACTTCTCGCTGTCTACCCCTCCCCCTCCCCTTTCCCTCTCCCCTCACCCATCCCAAGTAAAGTTAGATACGTTCATTCAAGTTCATTTTTACACTTTTGAACTATACCTATTACGACCTCTTCTCCCTTCACCCCCTTACCCCTCTCTCTCCCTCTCTCCACCTCTCGTAGAATTGGAAAAACTTCATTCAAGTTTATTTTATACTTCCCACTATATACTAGGCTCCTCCCTCCTCCCCTTACCCCACTCTTCCCTTCTTCCCCTTCCCCCTCTCCACCTAAACCCTCTCTCCCTCCCCTCCCTCCCTCCCTTCCCCTCCCCTAACCCCCTCTCTCCCTTCCCCCCTCCCCTAACCCTCTCTCCTTCCCCNGGATAGGAGAAGGGAGAGAGCAGCAGAAGAAGATTAGGGGATGAGTACGTGGAAGTGAAACAGGGAATAAGTATAAGGAAGGGATCAGTATGTGGAACAGACAGCTGAAACTTGCACGTGGAAGAGAAATAGGGAACCGAGATACAGGTATGCGAAATAAGGCGAAGAACATGCACATACAAACAAAATATTTACGATGAAGAAGGTAGAAGAATATAGAAGAATAAAAATATAAGTAGAATAGAGGAGAAAAAAATAAAAAGATCGTGAAATGGATTAAAGATGCGGGAAATACAGTAAGGTTTCAGGAATGTACATGTGTGAAGAGAGAGAAGAGAGAGTAGACCAAGCAATGACCAGTATGACTGATTGTTATCAAATGTATATAAGGAAATGTGGAAGCATAATAGAGTGGATAGAGAAAGTGGATAAGAATGAGCAGAAAAAGGGAAGCCTAATAGAATGGATTGAGAAAGTGGATAAGCATGAGCAGGAATGATTTAGCATTATTGTGTGGAGCGAGAAAATGGATAAGAATGAACAGAACAGTAGAATCTTAATAGAGTAGATTAAGAAAACATAAAAATAAACAAATACAAAAACATAGAAGCCTAAGAAAGCGGATTTCGAAATAGACAAAAATAACCAGAAACACACAACCATAAACGAGTGAGTGGACTGACAAAGTGGATCTCGGATACCCACAAATACCCACAACGTTGCCCCTTCCCCCACCCCCCCCACCTCCCCTCCCCCTCCCTCAAGAGTGCGTGGCATGGGAGAGGGAGGGGGGCATCTGACGTCAACCTTGCCCCTCAGATTACGCCATTTTATGGTTGTAGATGTCAATTAAGTGAGGATAAGTGGTCTCTTTGGGATAGGTGGGGGAAGTGTCATCGCTAGTGAGGATAGGGGGGGGGGGTAGGTTGGGGGAGGGTAGGTTGGGGAGTGGATAGGTAGGGGAGGGGATTTGTGGGGGGAGGGATGGTTGGGGAGGATGGTGATGGAGGGGATGGATGGGGGAGGGGATAGGTTGGGGAGTGGGTGGGTGGGGGATAGGTGGGGGAGAGTTGGTGAGAGAGGATAGGTGAGGGACAGAATAGGTGAGAGGGGATAGGTGGGAGAGAAAACTAGTAAGAGAGAATAGGTGGGAGGGTCGGTGTGTAGAGGAATAAGATGGAGAGAGAGACAAGAGGAGAGAATAGGGGAGAAGAATAGAGAAGGGTGAGAGAGAATAGGTGGAGAGAATAGAAAGAAGAATGGGTAGGAGACGAGAGGTGATAGAGGATTAACTGGAAAGGATAGATGGGAGAGGATTGGTAAGAGAGAATAGACGGGAAAGTACAAGAGAGAGAGAACAAGCAGGAGAGGATAGGATAAGATGGAGAGAATAGACGGGAAGGAACAAGAGAGAGAGGATAAGGAGTAGAGGATAGACAGGGTAAGAGGAGAGAATAGATGAGAAAGTACAAGAGGGAGAGAACAAGGAGGAGAAGAGAGATAGGACAAGAGGGAGAGAGAGGGAGAGGACAAGGATACGGAGAGAGAATGGACAGGATAACAGGAGAGAATAGTGCAAGAGGATAGGTGAGAGAGAATAGACGCGAGGAGACTAAGGTGCGTCTTGAACCTTGACTTCAAAGGCAATTAGGTTCGTGTAAGACAGATAAAACGGAAGGAAATAGATAAAAAAATGTATAAGATCACCATCGTTTTAGGGTTATCGCTTACGTCTCACATTTTAGCTTAAACACATTTATACTTTACCCAATATATCCTTTCATTCTTTTCTGGACGAAATATTGCCATTCCACTATGAAAAATACATTTCTATGGGATACAGTTTGCTCAATATATCTTTTCTTTCTCAATATATATCATTTATGTTATGATAACTTTCCCACTGTGAAAAGATTACATTTTCTTGGGATACAATTTACTCAATATCTTTTCATTCTTTTCGGGACGAAATATTACGTTCCAATTACGATAACTTTCTCCGCTAAGAAATATATTTTACCCAATATATCTTTTCATTCCAGGACGAAATATTATCATTCTAATACGACAACTTTCTCCACTATGAAAAGATTACATTTCTATGCGATATATTTTACCCAATATATCTTTTCATTCTTTTCAGGATGAAATATTATCGTTCTAATAGGACAACTTTCTCCACTATAAAAAGATAACATTTGTATGGGATACTGTTTACCCAGTATATTTCTCATTCTTTTCACCCAGTCTATTTCTCATTCTTTTCACCCAGTATATTTCTCATTCTTTTCCCCCAGTATATTTCTCATTCTTTTCACCCAGTATATTTCTCATTCTTTTCACCCCAGTATATTTCTCATTCTTTTCACCAGTATATTTCTCATTCTTTTCACCCAGTATATTTCTCATTCTTTTCACCCAGTTATTTCTCATTCTCCATATATTTCTCATTCTTTTCACCCAGTATTTTCTCATTCTTTTCACCCAGTATATTTCTCATTCTTTCACCCAGTATATTTCTCATTCTTTTCACCCAGTATATTTCTCATTCTTTTCACCCAGTATATTTCTCATTCTTTTCACCCAGTATATTTCTCATTCTTTTCACCAGTATATTCTCATTCTTTTCACCAGTATATTTCTCATTCTTTTCACCCAGTATATTTCTCATTCTTTCACCAGTATATTTCTCATTCTTTTCACCCAGTATATTTCTTTTCTTTTCACCCAGTATAATTTCTCATTCTTTTCACCCAGTATATTTATCATTCTTTTCACCCAGTATATTTCTCATTCTTTTCACCAGTATTATTTCTCATTCTTTTTATATTTCTCATTCTTTCACCAGTATATTTCTCATTCTTTTCACCAGTATATTTCAGTATTTCTCATTCTTTTCACCCAGTATATTTCTCATTCTTTTCACCCAGTATATTTCTCATTCTTTTCACCCAGTATATTTTCATTCTTTCACCCAGTATATTTTCTCATTCTTTTCACAGTATATTTCTCATTCTTTTTCACCCAGTATATTTCTCATATATTTCTCATTCTCACAGTATATTCTTTTCACCCAGTATTCTTTCTGGACAAAGTATTACATTCTGATACAATAACTTTCTCCACTATGAAAAGATTACATTTCTATGGGATATACTTTACCCAAATATATTTTCTCATTCTCAATATTACCATTCCAATTACGATAACTTTCTCCACTATGTAAAAAATTATATTTCTGATTAGTTTACCGGTATATCTTATCATTCCTTCCAGGACAGAAAATTACCATTCTATTCGACAACTTTCTCATGAAAAAAACCTTTCACTGGGATAAAATTTACTCAATATATCTTTTCACTCTTTTCAGGACGAAATATTATCGTTCCAATTACGATAACTTTCTCCGCTATAAAAAAAATACATTCTACCCAGAATATTTTCTCATTCTTTTCTGGACGAAATATTACCATTCCAATACGATAACTTTCTCCACTATGTAAAAAAAAAATATATTTCTATGGGATATAGTTTACCCAGTATATTTTCTCATTCCTTCCAGGACGAAATATTACCATTCTATACGACAACTTTCTCATGAAAAAATACCTTTCAATGGGATAAAATTTACTCAATATTTTTTTCATTCTTTTCAGGACGAAATATTATCGTTCCAATTACGAATACTTTCTCCGCTATAAAAAAAAAAATACATTCTACCTAGTATATTTTCTCATTCTTCTCTGGACGAAATATTACCATTCCAATACTACAACTTTCTCCACTATGTAAGAAAATATATTTCTATAGGATATACTTTACCCAGTATATCTTTTAATTCTCCCCAGACGAAATATTATTACCATTCTATACGACAAACTTTCTTCACTAAGAAAAAAATACAATTCTATAGGATATAATGTAACCAGTATATCTTATTCTTTCCAGAACAGAATATTACCATTCCAATACTACAACTTTCTCCGCTATGGAAAATTACATTTCTATGGGATATAC